TATATGTAAATATATATATATATGTATAAATATATATATATATATATATATTTATTATTATTATTATTATTATGCCGCTGATTTGTGTACTTGTTTACGCTACTTTTGATTAACCTTTCTGATTACGGTTCTTTCTGATGCCGATCATTAAAGTATATGAGTCTAGATATTTCATGTTCAGTACAGCTATATATTTAAATACCGCGACACAAACTGTTTCCTTCTTGAGTCAGCGCTATAGTCATCTATAGGTCGATTCTTAAGAGCACTCAAGCCATACCCAACTTACAGACAAACAGAGGAGACAGTGGCGCAGATCGAAAGTCGGATAAAAAACCAAGGTTTTAATTGGGTGACGGACAGGGACGAAGGGCTGCAACTTAATCAGAAGCACCGCGAGACTCAGAAGCAGACACACCCGGACCAGGACCATGTGTGGATTGAACCGGACTCGGTGATACGTCTGGACAAACAAACTGGGCAGTAGCAAGTTTGGGGATGTGTATAGAGATGTTACGCTGGTTAAGGGGTGAGTACTTGTCAGGGTTATATGTATGTGAATGTGTGTATTATACATACATGCATGTATATGTATATGTGTAAGCATGTATAGATATGTATGGCATTACTCCTATGCCCGGCTGCTTGAGGTGTACCGTCAATACCATAGCCCCATATCCATTCGCACATGAACTAGTCCTTCACATGACCCGATCACCTACCCAAACGCATACCCTCTCTACAACGCCTCTCCTGTCCTTTGGCTAACTGTACAGCTACGCCATAGAGTGCGCTATCAAGTATATCAAAGACGCAGATGAAGGCGCGGTGGCTGAGTTCCATATGGAGATAGGTCTATTACCACAACTGGACCACCCCAACGTCGTCCCAGTCATTGGGGTCGCTATCATCCCGGACCCCGATGCTGGTGCACAGAGTAGCCCATCTATGTTCATGGCAATGGAGTATATGGTATGTATGCATGTGTATATGTATATGTATATATATATATATATATAAGACTTGGTATGCGAGTTCGTACTATTCTGAGCGTGATATGGTACGACACGATGACTGTAGATGCAGTTTTCTGCTTCCTGCTGGTGGTATGTGTATGTGGTGGTGCAGTAGCAGGGTGTCCTCTATCGGGCCCAATTCTATAAATAATCAGACAGCCATAAGTTGCACATACTACACTTACTGTCGCATGTCTACTCAGATAGTAGGCGTTACAACCGTCTACGGATCTGCATGCCTTTCATCCATGCCCTCGTGTATCACATCAGGAGCGTGGCTCTAATAAACCAAGCTTTTCGCAGCACTGCACTGCGCTGATAAACTTGGTTTTTGTTTTGCACACAACTGGATATTGAATCCTCCTATCCATATCCATTCCTCTCACCCATGCCCTTCTGGGTCACCCCAGGACCTCGGATCTCTGGAACATGTGCTAAGAGCCCAACGGAGCCGCGCTGAAGCCTTGGACGGTACCAACAGTGCAGAGGAAATAGACCTGAACACTCCGTACACTCCCGCAGAGTATCTGTGGTTTGTACTGCAAGTGGTTAAGGGATTGCAATGCTTAGCGGATAACGGGATAGTCTACAGAGACATTGATGTGAGGAATGTACTGGTTGCCACACGAAGGGCATCAAGGGAGTGCCCAGGTGTGTGTGTCTGAAATGATGTGTAGATAGATATAGAAGTGCGATAGATTGGATTTATTCAGTCAAACACTACGACCAACTTGTACTCTCTTACATCGACATATACTATACACTACCCCAGCTTAGTTTTCAACCAACCAACATATCATCTCTTATACCATTACTTATATCTCATTCCATTACTTATACCATGTATCTATTATACTACGTGAATAAACTCTTTACCCTAAGCTGGCGCACCAGCAACATGTATGACTGCAAGATCGCCGATCTGGGACTATCGCGAAAGATGGAGGAGGGAGGCACATACCAACGCATCACCTCACGCCCACTGCCAGTGCGGTCTATGGCGCCCGAGACATTCAGGTGAGTACGTTGCTGTGGTTTATAAACAATGTTTTGTATCACAACTTGGTTTTAGATTCTATATACATGGTTTTTATTACAACTCGGCTTAGTTTCAGACAAACTACTGATTGTGACGACGGTGAAGTACCGGTTGGATTTAGCTATATCTGTGCAGGTAGACGTTTAGGTTTTAAGGTTTGCGTGACACCCGGAACACGCAGGGTTTAAGGTTTTAATACATGTACTTTTTATACAACTCAAGCGCATACTATGTTCAACTCAATAAGCCTCAGGTTTAAGTAGGTTTACGTATGACCGCATTAGTATACGTGTGAAAGAATACAGACAATCTATCCCCTAAACCCTAAACCCCTAAACCCTACGACACAGGAAAGAACCAGACATAACCGCCTCCGACGTGTACATGTTCGGTATCCTCATGTGGGAAGTCTATACTCTGGGTATGTTCGACACCTCGCATGCGTAGTATATATATATATATATTATATTATATTATATTATATATATATATATATATATATATATATATATATATATATATTATATATATATATTATATATATATAATATACTATTATATATATATATATATATATATTAGAGTGTGTATTCTACATCGTACTCTCCATAATCTTGAAATAAAAGTCTCGGATAGAGTCAGCCGTGTACCTGAAAGAGAGTCCGCGTCTATCGTTGGTTCGTATTTGTATGGTGGAAATGAATGCATAGAAACACGCATATATGAACATGCACATGTATACATCTAAGTGCTATCCATGCATCCACCGTACTCTCCCCACACATCGAAGCAACATACGCAGATAGAGGCAATCAGTACACTTGAGTGACCGTTCTTTGCAGCCCAAACACTTGTAGACATTGCGTCGTATTCTGTTGCGCTGTACTAGCTCGTGCTTCGTGCGACTGAAACACCATGAGCACCACCCTTCGTATGTTTCCATGGTTTCCTGTGGTGTGGCGGTGGAATATGGGCTATGTTTAGCAGGTGGACTAGCTTTAGAATAAGATTAAGGTGTATTCGCATGTAAATTTGTAATCCATCAAATGTCTGCAGAAAATGATGTATGTACTTATATATATATATATATATATATATGTATATATATATATATATATATATATATATGCATGTATGTATGTATGTATTATTTTATTG